CTCTCCCTCCTCTCCCTCCTCTCCCTCGTCTCCCTCCTCTCCCTCCTCTCCCTCCTCTCCCTCCTCTCCCTCCTCTCCCTCCTCTCCCTCCTCTCCCTCCTCTCCCTCCTCTTGACGCTTCACTTTATATACAACGTTCACATAATACAGGCGCGACCATTGCCCCCGGGAGATCCCGGGATCGATACCCATGAGGGTCAAAAGTCCGTCCGATGGTGGAAGGCATTGCGCCCCTAGTTGATGGACGGTGGTGACCTGGGATAAAGTTAACCTGCGAGCCGACCAGGAATGGAGTTGGGCCGCTGTCGACCGGTAGATTCCATTAGATGCTGGTGGTGGGTGCGGAACCTGAGCGATCCACTGAGAAGTTAACTAGGGTGACTGGATGAGGGTGCCCCGAAATACCGGGGAAGGCAGGGTTTTGCAGGGTAGCTGCCACGGGCGAAGATACACCCCCCTGTTTCACACATCATAATACAACGTTCATTATTACTAGTTCTTCTTAGGAATTTCTTCTTGTTACTTGACGCTTCACTTTGCCATTTTTCCGGGTATCACATCCCAGATGTCTGGTCGATTTGCGTCATAAGTACTTTTGTAACCGCCTTAAGCTCGGCCACTTCTTCACACTGCACATCTTCCGGACTTCTGCGCTTTGCATTTTACCATGTTTTCTCTATTATTCAATAACACCACCATGTTTTCTCTATTATTCAATAACACCGCGCCAAGGCCCTGAACGCAGGAACGCAGCGCCTCGTTATACGACGTTCCTTCCGGATTGCGCAAAGAGTAATTGTGTCTTAGTCCGACATGCTCGTCCATTTCATCCAACACCTAGGTTCTTGCCCACCTTCTAGAGGGCAATCCAACCTACCGTAGTGCTACTTATAGTTCGTGCTACAATAATTCGGGGTGCGCCACGAATATGTAGCACGTACAAATTCTAAGGTATCCTAAGGGACCGCAGCCCCGAAATATTGTACGCTCCGAAGCCGGTCGATCAAACTTCGCAAAAACTAGGATTTCAAGGCGGAAATCAGCTCTTAAATGTAAAAAATGTAGTCATAAACGTAGGACATGAACGTCGCTCGAAAACGTGCAAGACAGGCAACCCTGCTTCAATGCGGGATGAAATCGCTAGCACCAAACGCTCCGGTGAGCGACCGAGCTGGATTTGCACCAGTTAGGCTTGATGATGCTGTTGTTGAGGCCCAGCGTGAGCGAATGGAGCACGAGGAGGTTGCTAGGCGCGAGCGCAATGCGGTCAATGCTACGGCAGCCGGCGAGGCGAGGCTTGCGCTCACGCCGCAGCCTGGCATTCGACCTGTTGGACGTCCTCTTCAACAAATGAGCACGTCACGGAGCTGGATGCAAAGTTCAGCATGCTACCAGCGGACAAGGTGGAGGCCATGCGTGCAGCAACGGATTTCCAGAATTATCCAGAATTTGCTAGGGCGTTTCCAAAGTGCGAAAATGGTGAGAGACCATGAGCCTAAGGGTTCCCGGTGGAGGGAGACTGACTGGAAGCTGCAGTTTGAAAAGCCCCGAAACTTTGGAAGGGGCCCCGAAATTTTGTATCATGCCCGCAAAATCTGGTCCGGCCTTCCCCGAAATTCAAAGAGCACGTACAAATTTCAGCAAGTTTTTTGACCCCTCCCCGAACAAAGCGATCACGAACTATAAGTAGCACTACGGTATTCGTGGTTACGAAACCTCTCACGCATAAACGTATATGTCCATCTTATCACAGCATGCGGAGTTGTTATACTTGGATTCAGACTGATCGGCGGCAAACGTAGCAGCACTACGCCAGCTGGCCCGATGGCTCTACCCTTCGGGAGTCTGGAGCCCACTGTAACAACCACACACACTACGCAGCACGACCAGCAGCGGTAACTACGCGTTGCGAGTTTCAACGCACAACAAAGCAAGGATTACCTCACGCAGGACAATAATTGTCCAGCCCTTCAGAGAACCTTGCTAACTCCAAACGTGCAGAACTACTGCAGATGATACTTACAGCAGAGAATGAGTGAAACTCCTTAACTTAAGTTCACCTTATCCATTAAACACGTTTAGCATATCTGGTCCAAATGATAGCAGGTTTTGGCGCAAAGACAGGTAAACCGCACTACTGGAAACCGCCAGCCAACGGTTTTCCGGTAGAGCCTGCCGTCTTGTACGACTGAAATTACTGAAATAACGGCAGACGCAAGTCAAGGGGCATAAATCAATGAACAGTCCGGGAACTTCTATAACATTGCGATTCCCCAATCGTCCGGGCACCGCGGGGCGATCAATAGATAGATAGATCATTCGCTAGCTGCGGAGCCTAAACGGGATTACACTTATGATCCAGAAAAAGCTCCAGGTTGGTTTATCAATATTTATAATTCCTTGGTAAAACTATGATCGGCTGTTCATCTTAAAAGTTCTTGTTGGGCGCATCGATGGATGTTGGTTTTATGTGTCACCTGTCATGCCGACAATAAGCGCCAGCACCATCATCTTGAGATAAATGATACTCATTCGTGTGCTCTTTTCCAGAATGACAGCGTCTGTGCCCATGTACACGGCCTCAGTGCCCACCCATCTCAACACATCTCAATGGCGTCCTGCTTGGTCCGGCTTGTTCCATGCCCTGCAATATAGCCACAGGTTTCCGTAAGAATGATGAAGCGATTGGTTTTGCTCCTATCCTGCTGGCTGATGGTTATCTTGGGATGCCTACGTACGACTGCCAGCGCCGAGCGCAGTCTTCTCCAATCATACCTCGAGACATTTCCGCCTTACGGTAGGTCGCATCGCCCCTTACGGTGAGCTTTCGTTTTGTTTCCACAATCCTTGGCCCTGGGCGACATACTTCCAGTCGTGGAAACCAGAAACTGACTGAACATGCATGTGTGCCATCACTTTGTTCACTGTCCTTTTGTTAATCTCTTCCGCAGGCTGCAACCGCGACCCGCAGCAGTCCCGCTTCCGCCTCGACCCAGTCTACACCGTCAGCGGCAACCGGGTGTGCATGACTGCCCGCGTCGTGGACTGCGCCAAGCCGGGCTCGGACTGCTGTGACCCCAAGATTGATTTTTACAAGATCGAGCTGGACGTGAACAAGCAGTGCAAAGGCGCCGTGACGGGGGTCACGGTCAACGGAAAACCGGCTCTGGCACCCACGTTCGACCCCTACGCCACCAACGATACCAAGGCAGTGATTAAGCTTACGGTGAGAGCTGCTGAAGGCGATTGCGCACGACAACGCGTCGCTTGTCGGCCGACACCTTGGCTTGGTAGCGTAGGGACTACTAATCTTCCCCACTTGGTCCCTTCCGTCGCTTCCCTCCCCAGGGCCTGAATCTTGACCTGACGACTGCGGACGGCGCTGTGGTGTGCATGACGCTGGGCGGCTCGTGTCCCTCCATGGAGACACTCTGTGCGGAGGGCAACGGCTTCTGCAAGTATGCCGTCGTGCAAAGTGGAACGTGCGACTGCTGCCCTGTGGGCAAGCTGGGCTTCTTTGCGCCGCCACCATCTCCTCTTCCGCCCAGCCCTTCACCACCCAGCCCCTCTCCACCCAGCCCTCATCCTCCCAGCCCTCGCCCGCCGTCACCAATGCCGCCCAGCCCGCTGCCTCCATCTCCGCTTCCACCCAGCCCCTCTCCACCCAGCCCCTCTCCACCCAGCCCCTCTCCACCCAGCCCCTCCCACCCAGCCCCTCTCCACCCAGCCCTCTTCCTCCCAGCCCTCGCCCGCCGTCACCACTGCCGCCTAGCCCACTGCCTCCATCCCCACTCCCACCCAGCCCCTCTCCACCCAGCCCTCTTCCGCCCAGCCCTCGCCCGCCGTCACCACTGCCACCCAGCCCACTGCCTCCATGTCCGCTTCCACCCAGCCCTCTTCCACCCAGCCCGCTGCCCCAGCCCTCTTCCACCCAGCCCTCTCCCGCCAGCCCCTCTCCGCCCAGCCCACTGCCTCCACCCAGCACTCCCACCCAGCCCCTCTCCACCCAGCCCTCTACCACCCAGCCCTCGCCCGCCGACGCCACTGCCGCCTAGCCCACTGCCTCCATCCCCACTCCCACCCAGCCCCTCTCCACCCGGCCCTCTTCCGCCCAGCCCTCGCCCGCCGTCACCACTGCCGCCTAGCCCACTGCCTCCATCCCCACTCCCACCCAGCCCCTCTCCACCCAGCCCTCTTCCGCCCAGCCCTCGGCCGCCGTCACCACTGCCTCCATCTCCGCTTCCTCCCAGCCCTCTTCCGCCCAGCCCTCTTCCTCCAAGCCCTCGGCCGCCGTCACCAATGCCGCCCAGCCCGCTGCCTCCATCTCCTCTTCCGCCCAGCCCGCTGCCACCCAGCCCTCGCCCCCCATCACCACTGCCACCCAGCCCGCTGCCGCCCTCGCCAATCCCCCCCAGCCCCTCGCCACCCAGCCCTCTGCCACCGAGCCGTCCGCCTCCATTTGCGCCGCCATTCACACCAGTACGGATTAGGTCGCCGTTTCCGTTCTGCGAGTGAGTTTATCGGGCTGGCGTTTGTGACGACGTGAGCGTGCTAAGCGTTTGGTCTGCGACTCTGTGTATGCAACTGTATTGATTTCATTTACCCGTGCTTCTCTCCATTGCCCACGCAGTTGCAACCGCACCCTGCCTGGCCTGGTACCCTTCAACTTCGACAAGACACCGTCGCTCAGCCTGAATGGCGCCAACCGCCGGTACTGCCTGACACTCCGTACAGTGCCGTGCGCGGACCCTAGCAGCCCCTGTTGCGACCAGGCGCTCTCCAAAGTGGAGTGGTGGTCCAGAGAGAGCTGTCGCGGGTCCGTACGGGCCGTGTACCTGGACGGGATCAAGATCGACTCGCAGTGGGGCGTCAATGGGACGTTCAAGATCCCCCAGCTGAACATGGCCCCCAGCTCGGTTCCCCTCCAGGGCCGGCAGGTGTGTCTGGAGCTCTTGTCGGCGTCCACATGCCCCACCCTGGCTACCTTCTGTGCCAAGGGAGGCCAGGGTGCCTGCACGTATTCCATGTTTTCGGAAGACAAGGATTGCTGCCCGATCGGCACATTCGTAACGCTTGGCAGGCGCAGATAGACGGAGAGTTACTCGGTTTACTTATTTCGCTGGATGTTTAGTGCCAAATTTGCTAAGATTGGTGGGGAGCAAGGACTGCTGAGACATGCAGTGGGCTGTTGTCCGGGAAGTAGCAAGCGGTGTGTCCCTCTGTCTAGCTGTATTCGTTTGATGTCATGTTTGGGACGCAGGAGGGCTTAGGGTTGGACGCTGTGCTAAGCGCAAGAGAGGATGCAGCAGTGTGTGATCCGGAATGCTTGTGTGAGGTTGCGTGCAGGATATCGTAATGTATGCCCTTGCGGCCCAATGCATGTTTTAGAGCGAGGTGAGACGACAAGGTACATAAACGAATGAACTCAATCGGAATTTACGAGCCATCGCTGTTTGATCAATTGCGATTATGAGAAGCTTTTCGGAGCTGACTGTCTGTCTTAGGGTTTATGTCTGTGTATCTGTAAGTCTATCTGTTCCACAGATTGTCACTTGCTTCCCTAAGCTGCATACCTTATGATTCACCTCGGTCCATGTCACCGAGGCCACTTAGCTACCGCATGCATGTACGTATGATGTGTGATGTGTGGAACAGGGGGTTCATATCTTCACTCTGCGGCCGGTACCCTGCGAAACCCTGCCTTCCCCGGTATTTCGGGGCACCCTCATCCAGTCACCTTAGCCGACTTCTCAGTGGATCGCTCAGGTTCCGCACCCACCACCGGCATCCAATGAAATCTGTACGTATGTATGTATGATGCCGCATGCGATCAATGGTACTAACAACGTACTGCGCATTGTAAGGAAAACCAAGTCAGCCATACAGATATTTTTCTTCACTTTCCTTAGCTCGCGTCTGCCCTCATTCCTTGCTTCGTCGTCCGTGAGCATGCGCAGGCAAGTGTGTTATATCACGACTTCAGAAAAGTGAATGCAGATCCCGTGTATTGTGTGTGTGAGATAGATAGATAGATAGATAGGTTGATAGATAGATTGATAGATTGATAGATAGATTGATAGAGAGAGAGAGAATCCCGGATACATACTGCCTGAAGTCAGAGGCACAAAGAACGAAGTTGGAAATCGCCAAATACACACACAGACAGACACACACACACGGGGATAACCCAGGATGTTCCATTTGCATCGCCCGGGGTGCAGGCGGGGTGTGGGCGTGCAGGTGGGGGGTTGAAGGCGTCAGGTTAGAGGTGGTGTAAGGTTGTCAGGGAGCAGGGTGCGCAAGGGGCACATCAACCACCCTTCGGATAGCCCGGTAGACCCTCCGGGTAAACCTACCGAGGCCCCACCCTACCGACCGCTTGGGCTCCGGGTACCGATCGGTGACCCATCGAATGTGTGGCCTATGGAGGCTGTACTGGCCCATGTCTTGGCCCAGGAAACCGTGGCAGCATAAACCGGGTGGCCGCAAAGATTGCGGTGCAGTGCAACCCAAGGCACATCATGGAGCCAGGGCAGATCATCCTAGTGCATGGCAGTAACATACCTTACATGCTGGTGTGTTGAGGGCATGAAGCCCGGAAATAGAGCCTTGGAGACACATCCGCTCTAAATGATGCACAGCGACAAAACCCTTGAGAATGAGATGCACCTAGTGGTTGTATGTGGACCTTTTCAAGGTGATGTTTCAGTTCATTAAGATCTGTGGTTTCCTCAGACTTGTACACTGCTGGAAAGTCAAATGTACTGATATATTGCTGACCATCCTGTATTGACACTCATTCACGTATCATCACCTGCAGTTCAGTACATTGCTCATGCCCAAGAGGGACTTCCTTGAAATGCCTGGTGTGGTGGCTCATTGGTCAGGGCAGGGCAGGATGTCAGCAGTGACAGGCAGTAAAAGCGACAGTGCCCTTGTCCCAGTTGCCCGGGCGACAACTTGGTTGCTGTTGTGCCATGGGAATGATTCCTCGAATGGCGAAATGCCGTTGGCGGTTGAACTGGCCCCTGGGTCTGTGCATGCATGTTGTCTTGCCTGGGTTTGGGTCTGGTGGGGCGACCCGAACATGTGGGGGGAAACCCTAACCCTATGGCACTGATCGGGTCGGTAACCCATGGGTTACCCATCTTCAACCCCCGGTAGCCCACTGGTAACCCCCCTGTAAGGTCCTACCCAGCGGGAGGGGTAAGCGCACCTATGGTGCACCTCATTTTGCAAGACGTCTAGTGACACCCGAGAATTTTCCTGGAAGGGCGCCTTACACTTTGCCGGGTGTGACCGTGTTCAGGCTCAAACATCCGGATCTCCCGCCTAAGACCCTTGACACTCTTAGGAGCGCCTGCTTTGAAAATGAGCAGACTATGGATAGTATTGCATATGTCGTCTGCCCGGAGCTGGAATTAGCAGGTCGGGACGGTGCAGTTTAGCTACTGGCCGACCTTACATGGCCGCCCGTCGGCTGGTCCGCAAGCTCTGGGGGGCGGTAAGTGCCTGGATCTTTTTATATGAATGTTTATTGGCTTCGCTTGCGGCTTCTTGTGGTCACCAATGCGCTCGGTCTATGTACGCCGGTTCGTCCGCCTCCTTGCGTCTAGGCTGTGCGCCTTATCCTTAGGTTTAGGTTTCAAAACAAGACGTGTTGGTGAGGCAATGTTGACAATTGTGCACTCACACGTGATTGGTGGACATGTATGTTTGCATGTGTAGACAGGCGAGGCAGGCGCGGATGAAAGTGTATAGAGAGGCATGTGTGCGCACATAGCCAGGCGAGACAGGCATATGTGCTCACATGTGTGTGTGTGTGTTACATGGTTGGGGGGTGCGTGACCCCATACCTGTAAGACTACCCATACGAGCCGAAGGCCCAAGGGCATATGTGCTCACATAAACGGATGAGACAGCTGTGATAGCACGTGTAGGCAGGTGGGACAGGGTGGACACCCTACAAGCCATTGACACCAGCATACGACCCGGCATATGGTCGAGGCACATTTGCAAACGTGCGTTACCCTGTCTGTTACTCATCAGTAGTGTTACCCTGACCCCTTTGTAACCCTTCGGTAAGGGGTTACCCCTACCCCGGGGTTAGGTTACCCACCTCCGTACATATCCACATGGGTAACCACTTACCCCTACCCCTATCCCCTGGGTTACACTTAAAGGGGGTCAGCCCCCGTTTTATGCCATAGGGTAAGTAAGTGAATTGTGAGGGGATTGATGTATCAGGGATCTGTCTAATCGAAGGTTAGTATGCCATGGGGGAATCCATTTCAAAGCCCCACATTTGAGCCAATGCTTGGCAGGACGGAGACTTGGGATTCGTAAAGCTGGATGAGAATCCATTCTTTATTCCAAAAGAACGTACATCGGTTACTCCTCCCTCTATGGAGCGATCTTATGCTACTTGCTGGTCCAAACTATGGTAGCGTCCATTTAGCTGTTTCACAATTCTAACAATTGTCATTAATCAAACAGCAATGGCTCGTATATTCCGATTGAGTTCATTCACATTTTCACTGAGCGAAGGTGTCTTGTCGAAGTTGAAGGGTACCAGACCAGGCAGGGTGCGGTTGCAACTGCGTGGGCAATGGAGAGAAGCATGGGTGAATGAAATCAATACAGTCGCATACACAGAGTCGCAGACCAAACGCTTAGCACGCTCTACAAAGTCACCCCGCTTAACTCGCAGAACGGAAACGGCGACCTAATCCGTACTGGTGTGAATGGCGGAGCAAATGGAGGCGGACGGCTCGGTGTAAGAGGGCTGGGTGGCAGCGGGCTGGGCGGAAGAGGAGATGGAGGCAGTGGGCTGGGCGGCATTGGTGACGGCGGGCGAGGGCTGGGAGGAAGGGGGCTGGGTGGAGAGGGGCTGGGAGGAAGCGGAGATGGAGGTATTGGTGACGGCGGGCGAGGGCTGGGAGGAAGAGGGCTGGGTGGCAGCGGGCTGGGCGGAAGAGGAGATGGCGGGCTAGGGCTGGGAGGAAGAGGGCTGGGTGGAGAGGGGCTGGGAGGAAGCGGAGATGGAGGCAGTGGTGACGGCGGGCGAGGGCTGGGTGGTGAAGGGCTGGGTGGCAGCGGGCTGGGCGGAAGAGGAGATGGAGTCAGTGGGCTGGGCGGCATTGGTGACGGCGGGCGAGGGCTGGGTGGGAGGGGGCTGGGTGGAGAGGGGCTTGGTGGAAGCGGAGATGGAGGCAGCGGGCTGGGCGGCAGTGGTGATGGGGGACGAGGGCTGGGAGGAAGTGGAGATGGAGGCAGTGGGCTGGGCGGCAGTGGGCGGAAAAGGAGATGGTGGCGGCGGAAAGAAGGCCAGCTTGCCCACGGGTCGCACGTTCCACTTTGCAGGACGGCATACGGCTCATATAACGTATGAACGTAGGTGATCATGTGTTCTAGTATTCCACTTATAGAGTTGACAAATGGCTCTGAATAACCGATGGTTTTTAATCTTTGCTAAGAGCGCTTTGCTCCTGTGCAGCGCTATGGTGCTGCCAGCGTTTGCGCAAGATTTTAGCAAGAATGGTAATCATACCACAAAGAAGTACAGTGCAATTGCAACGCCGTTGCCATACAATTGGACTGTAGACATAACTTATCCCACCGACGACAAGGGCGGCCCCTTTCCATTAATTTTCATGTTCAACGGAATGGAGGCAAGTTTGTGTATCTTTCTTGATTCGTCTACGTTGGGCTCTTAAGTATATCCAAAGCTCAATAGCTAGGTTCTTCAACCGCGTGCGGAGTGGCGAATACACCTCCAAGGATTAATGAACTGGAGGAACGCACCCTATAGTAATGGCAAAAGGTCTTCATAACTACCCTTGCATGTAGTAGCGTTCCTCGTTATTTTGCCTGGACTCCTGAAGGAACCGGGAATAACGTAGCGGCTGCCTATTTTGATTATACCTCTCCGTAATAAAAAGCCTCTCCTTAATAAGTGTAAGTGGCCTGCTCCGTGCCTACCACGGGTAGGTGGATTTTGCGTGAGAGTAGATCCCTTGGTCGCCTTGAGCCTTGATCGCGATTTGCGGAATTGAAGCGATAATCTTTAGCCTCGGATGGAGCTCATCACAACTTGCTGTTCATTATATATAGGTGGCTGGATTATGCTTGTCATATCAGCATAGATCAAGCCATCTGGCTGCGGGTATTTCACGACGTAGCTTGCCGTGCCTTCCCCCCCTTGGCGCTCGGCCCCTCCATGTCACGTTTGCATGTATACTTGCCTTCCGTGTCGTACATCGATTGTAAAGTGCCAAGCTGCCTGGTACACCAAGACGGTGGAGCATGTGGCATCTTGGGGATACGTCATCGTGCAGTACACAACGGGCATTGGTTACCCTCTAAAGAATGGCGAAA